TATATATAATATATATTTATATATTGCAATATGAAAATATTGTGACATTTTTTAAATTGTATAAGGAATGATCATAGAGAAAATACAAGAGTAGTACATTTCATTAGAGAATGTGATGTAAATAAATTATATATTAATCATGATGTTAATAATAAATAATTATCATTGTTTATCTATTTCTTGTAAAAATATTATTTACATATCACTTTTTATCATTTGTTAATGTATAAATTCAAGAGTATTATACATAGAAAGACGTGCTAAAAATAAATTTATTGAGTATAAAAAATAGTTCGCTTTCGCGCTGTTCTAAAATCTGGATGATTTATGATTCGAAATTCGTGGTCCTGCGATTTACGGTTCAATGATATCTTGCAAAAGACCTGCGCCCGTGAATGTGTGACACATAAGTAGGTGATGTAGGACGCGGTTAACAGTTGGCTTCACAAAGGCATAAAGTGTAGTGTAGTAGAATAGAGCGGAGCGGTGCGGTACTGCAGTCGGCCGGTCGGCGGCGACAGTGACGGGAGCAGCGTCGTGCAGTGAGGTTGAGCGTGTTTTATTTCTTCGGGGAAGAACGATCGGCAGCTTTCGTTCGACGTTCACACCGTCACACGGCGATTCCCAGCTGGATCGCGCACTCCGTTCCGAGATACGAAAGTTTCTCGCGGAATTTTTCTGTTTTCGGAAGACTGGTGAAAAAAAATGCTTTTCGTCATTGGCACGCACGCTAGACACTGAACACCAAGACACTGTCTTTTTCACTATCGACTTGTTCCTCAGTTCCGATTCCTGACGAAGGAGAGCGAGTCTCAGCACGTAAGTTTCAGCACGCTGAGCCCGGAACATTGGAGAACTAAATGCGCGTCCTTCGGCGATTCAGGTTTGTCAAATCTGTTTCAAGGGCGCGCGATTTTTCCCAAGCAAGAATTTTAAATGACTTTCGCCCGGCCATCTCGTTCTGTTTAGATTTACGATTCTCTTTTTTTTTCGAGTGAGTCAGAGAGAAAAATCTTTCTTAAATTAACCATTTCTGTATAATATTCCTGTATAATATTTTTTGTTATAATGATATAATGATATTTACTTCTTCAGTTCGCCAACTTTCAAGTTGGCCATTTGATCACTACTTTAATTTTTTTCTAGTTATATCTGGTTTATATCTAATTATCTTCTTATAAGCAGCTCCTACGAGTTATATCAAAATAAAATTAGAAATTTAGAATTGTTTCCTATATATTTTTTTTTAAATTAGAATATTTCTTTTACTGTAATGACCTTGTGTTTACTTGTTAGTTTATCAACTTCGAAATTAGCCTATGCGATTAGACGACGTATGCGATTAGACGAAGTGCTCTTGTTGCGACGTAAGCGTTCGTGATTTCCGCGCAAAAAAGAAAGAGACAAAAGAAGAAACGGTTATCAATTCAATAATAGCTCGTTTCAATTTATGCTTGAATCGGTAGTCCAATAGCATACTGTGAATAATCAACGCTGTTCGCAATGGCAGAGCACAAGATCGCTAGGAATTAATATCGAATTCATTACTCGCATTACACCAAATTAGTGCATACTAAAAACTGTTTTATATAAATTTAGTAAAATTAAATGGAAAAGGATATAAATATTTTGAGCAATTAAATAGCTAATAATATTGTCACGTTATTTAACAGACTATACATATATTCATTTTCAAATTTGATTAAATTATAATAAACAAGACATTATTAGAAACAAGACCGTTATAAATCAATTAAGAGAATCACTTATAATCAAAATTGGTATAATACATCTATATTTATTTGAATAAATTTATCGGATATATGATTGTGTGCCAATTATTTTTCATACCTGCAACGCAATTAATGATAATTAATTATGCCAGTGCATTTAAATATACTTGCATTAATCCAGAGTAATACGAGTGACTAAATTCATTATATAAGTATTGCTTTCAAAGTGTCGAAAATATGTGAGATACGTTTCTTTTTTTCTGAGACATCTGAGGCATATCCGCGCGGAATGTATCCTTCGCTATTTCAACAATCTGTTTTCGAACGACTATGCATGTATCTTTATCTCGCAATATGATTCGATGTTCCGTTGAGATAACTTGCTTGTTAGCATAAAATGAAAATGTGTCGAGTCATTTATCGTCTAAGTACATGCCATAGTAATGTTATGCAAAGAGCAAATTTATTTATTCTAATTATTTATATGAGATTTATTTATATGAGATTGTTCGATTTTATCAACACAATTATGTATATATGCTAGCGATTATGTTGT